GCCCCCTGGATCTCCACGGTGATCGGTTTGTAGGGTTAAACGCCCGTTGCACAAACATCTATTAAAACTCTCATTACTTTAAAGAGAATGCGCTTACAAATTACCGATACAAATTTTCAAATTTGGAACATTAATCAGATCCTAAAGTAGTCATTAAACCTTTAATGGACGTTTGTGCAAAATCAAAGGACATGTACTTATGACTGGGAGATAATAAAAAACCAAAACTAAATCATATGATTAATATATTTCAATATAGAAACTGATAGGCAATATAAAACATATTTAAACACATTATGTCATTCATATGCTTATCATACAAATATTAACATCAGATATATACACAGTTTTCATATGTCGATAATTATAATAAGTAGTATACTTATAGAAACAAATAACTAAATGATAGGCACCAATATACCATGAGGTAAAATATGGTCCCGATTGCAAAAGTAAAAAAGTGCAAAATTTTACAATATTAAAATATTAGTATGTATTACAAACACAATAACGTTCAAAATAACAAAAAAAAAAAAAAAACAAATATATCGTCCGCATAGGAAAGAAAACTAACAACTGAAAAAATCGTGATTTACACCCGGTTTGATATAACTTTATACTTACCTATACAAAAATTGCTACTGCATATGTCCGCATAAATCAAAAAGGTTTTTATTAAAACATCTCTAAGTTACGTTGCATTATCGGTCGCAGAACACTATATGATATGGCATTCGATAGATCCGTCGTGTATCAACGTATACTTCCGTGAGACACTTGACGGATAAACCGTTAGAGCCGCGCCCTAACTCGCGATTTAATCTCGAATTTCATATTTTGTCAGTTAGTTAGTTTTCCACTTATGGGTACGATTAAAACATAAACTGGGCCATGTCTGCTGGATGGATTCAAAAATATCACAATGTTGATTAAGTAAAAACAAGATTCGATCACCACAGCGAATTTAATAAGACTTAATAGACAGAAATTGAAGAGACATATGAACGAAGTTTCTGAATAAACATTAAAATGTTTTGCAGTAGGATTATCTTTAATTTGGATTAAAATTATACTGTACCAAAGAGATTATTGTTCTTTTTTTTATTATTATGTTTGTGTAAGGCTTCCTTGCAATTGCGTATTTCAATATACAGAACGTAATTCAGAACACCAATGGTCACGTGGTAACATCACTAATGTTTGTTTAATGTTGTGTGAATCCATTTTTATATTTATTTTCATTATTAAATCATATCACTAACCGATTTCTTCCAATGATTGAATGTACCTTACTAACCTAATTAGGAATTCATTTAATCAGATCAATATAAAAAATATAATCACATGAAAAACTTCGTAATGCATTTCACTTGTTTTTAAAGTTTATCTTCAAAGTCAACAGTTATACATGGTTAGGATATTTCCGTCGCCATATCCTTTTCTGTCGCTCAAAACCTCGATATGTTAGAATGAGAAAGATAGTGAGTGTGCGACTGCACGCCGCGGAGTCCTCGATTCGATAGACAACTCCGTGCTGCCGGATGTACGAATAATTCTAATAACCCTAAGTTTTTAACCAATGGACAATTTTTTTTTCTACGGTGTAGTAACTATAATAGAACTTATTTATAAAAAAACACAGTTCATTATTCAACAGATATTTTAAGATTTACTAACAAATTCTTGTTTATATTAAAATGTAGTAAATAAACTGTAGGTATGCCGATACCATCAACTTTCGGATACAGCAGGCACAACATAAGCTATGTTAACCGTTAATATGATTTAGTAACAAACACAATATTAAAATTAGCATTTTTGCACCGATTATCATTTTCATATATTTTTGTATAAAGTATGGATTTATATTAGATCATTAACGTTCCATAAAACCATAACGTTCTAACTAATAAATAGAAACGGAACATTAAAACAAAAAATGTCACAATATTATTGATTAAAAGTCGATTTAAAAATCGGTGCAAATCTGACGGAAAATCTCTCAAGCGTGTCACACATATACGTTAGTACGCGACGGAATTTCCGTCACATAAATTGTAACTCTAGCCACAACTATAAAATCGTTTTATTGATATTAACAATGCATATGTTAATGAATATGGTTTATGTAGTTGTAGTTTTATGAATAACATTAAGCTTGACTAAATTAAACAAAGAAGAATTTAGATATAGAAACCTAATAGTAATAAACAAAATGGTTGTTTGAATATTTAAATAACAAAAATATTTTATTTTAAAAGAATATTGACATAGCCATTGGTGAAAATCAATAAATTGTTCTTATAACTATGGCTAGAATCATAGCCAGAGTGTTAGGCGGTTGCAACCATGACATTCCGCGGCCGACGTGCTTGCCTATTCTGTAAAATGTGCACCAACCCTAATACTGTACCCAAAGTGCGAGAAAAGTTCAATAAAAGTTAAATTAAATACATTACACAATATTATTACGAGTGTTAAAACTATATTATCAAATTTTAATAATTATTATCAATAAACTAACTTTCAAACACGCAGACAAAAAATAATTTAAATTATTGAGCATTATTTAGATGATTCTTGTCTTTTATCTATTAGTAATAAGTATTATTAATAACGACAACACACAAATATACAGATAAATTTAATAAAATAAACATTATTGCAATTAATATCAATAACTGATTAACATAATTCATAAATTAAGTCAAAATAAAACTAAAAATTCGATGTTTTTATTGCTTCAAACAATGACGTATTATTATTATTATTCTTAGTCTTATATAAAATATATAAAAGACCAGACTAGAAGTGCATCGAAACAATATTTTTAACTGCTGTTTTAGGTATTTTTTTTAAATATTTTTCCATACATTTACTTTTACAGTTACAATCTAAAACTCTACATAAAACATTCAAATATTAACTGTCTTATGCATAAACCCAGAAGTTTTATTTGTAACACGGAGTTATATAATGAATCCATAGTATATTAAAAAATAAGATATGTATATTGAAAATTGATCTATGTTAAATAATTGTAAAACTATACAACTTTACATATGTTTATACATAAATGATTTTAATAGATTTTACAAAAACACTTACAAAATGCCACTGGTTTTTGACTTACCAAATTAAAACTGATTTAAAGCCTGTGTTTATTAAAACTGGTCGGTTAATAAAAGATAATTGGAAGCTCAAATAATCATTATGTAAATATTAAAATCGACTACATCGTATATACACTTCAGTTTTAACAGGTTACTGCAAAAACTTCTATCTTTAAAGGATTTCGAACTCGATTTCGAACTCGCTTTCGAGGCCATAAGGTTGAAAATCAATAGGACAGCCTGATAAGCAAACGAAGCTCGATGTATTTACATGCCCATTTACATAACACCATTTATTATTAGTTCCATTCAATTCAGCCATAAGTTTTTATTATTTATGGTATATTATACAGCATATGAACAATTTTATGAAAATATTCTTTAACAGATGAAACTTACAAAACGCATTTTAGGGGCTACTAAGTATTGTAAATATAAGTTTTTTATCCACGGAATGAAAATTAGGAATACAGCCCCTAGAGGACTTTGTCGCTCTCAATTTTGCCGCCTGTTGAAATTGAAATATAAAATAAAAAAATTATATATTACATGTATATCATGCAAAAGTGGTAGGATTTATACAGAAACTGTGCTCACCCGACCAATACACTTGAAATTGATCGTGTTTTGTTGAAGGTGTCAAAAATCATAAAAACCGGCATAAATCATAAGAAAACAGACGCCTATTCTCGCAATGAATGTGGCGTGAAAATAAATTTAAGATTAGAAAAATGTTTCAAAAATCGAAACACCGTCTAAAGACGCCAGGAAGCGTAGTTACTGTGGGACGAGTCCAGATTAGTTGGTCCTAAATAAAAAAGACAGAACATTGTATAAAGATGAAGAATGAAAAAACTATCTGATGCTTAGATATTCTTTACCTCATGTTTACTCTTACCTTCTCAAGAATACATAGATATCATTTATGTACAATTGGACATATTTTAATAATATATTTACAATACATTCTTTGATTTTTCACATTCCTAATGTCTGTACTTAATTAAAAACTGACAAAAACAAGTATTTTTAATTAAAAGTTTTATACTATGTGTAATAGAGTTACACACATTGTTTCGTTATAAATTATTATTCCAATAATACTATATCATCCTTTGGGTAAAACTGGTCCTATTCGCCGTTGTTAGCATTAACTTTATACGGTTGATCTTATTTAAGATTAAGTCTATATTGGTCTAATTGTCATTAGAATTTTATCTACTCTTTTTCTTTTAGTCCGATTGGTTGTTGATCAAATATTATGCATAAGTATAAAAAAAAATAATCACATTATATATTAAAATATTTTTTCCTAGGTCATCAAAATTATTGATTATATAAAAACCAACAAAAGTTTATTGAATTTATTATAAATTACTAGAAAAACAATATAAAATATATTGTTCAAATTTAACTGCATATTAACAAACCAGCAATTAAAATTAATATGAACTATGAATCTTTCTTCACCATTGGACCAAATGCGATTAGACCGATAGCATTTAAAGGTTCAAAAGCTCGATTTTACTTTATGGAAGATGCTATCACTACTACACGTTTTATGCTAATATTCTTAATATAAGAAAATATTATTTGGTATACCAATATAGTTATATAATATAGTTATATGGAGAACTAATATGTTGAAACAGAAAACATAGTTGAGTGTGGTAGTGTTGAGAAGTTGAGTATGTTTTTTTAACACAAAAGTTTCTAGTTGTAATGTACGCAATATTTTTGGCCAGCAACTTTAACTAATTTGTTACTATTTTAATTAACTAAGAGCATTTAATTATGACGGATGTCCTACATGTCTGATGATGCGTCAGCTGATCAGTCATAGTGGGATTATGTATGAAGCAATCATTTAATACGGCATCTGTTGGGGTTTAACAACTAGTTTAGAAAGCTTACTGAGGGCTGACAAATGCTTTAAGATTTCCACAATTAATTTTGAACTTTAATGCAAACACAAGCTAGAAATTCAACATGTCCTGTCATCAATTAACCTACTTAAAGAGTAAAGTTTTCATTCAAAAGGTCAAAACAAAAAGATTTAAAAAAAATGTGACTTCTAAACAAATTCCTTCTGGATACAAGGCAATGCACTTAGAGTTATTTCTAACATTGACTTATATACATATATCTGTATAAAAATGGTCTAGTATAAAGAATATGGTATTGCACTTACCAAATTGTATTGGGCCAGAATAATTTCATACGTTATTCTATTCGAGTCAACTGTAATTTATTACCATAATTAATATTGCAAATCATTTTTAATAAATTAGTTTCTTCCATTTTATAAAATGCAACATATTCAGTACACAAAAACAAAACATTAACTATATTAGAATCAAGTTTTTAAATTCATTCATCACTTGATAACGTAGCAAGAGTAACAACAAGTAATAACCTTAGAAATAGTCTCATTTAGGCCTTATTTTTTCATAGAAATATATTTGAGCTACACCGTTCGGTTCTTTCGAAAGTAACCTTTTCTTCACAAACTTAAAGTGTTCTAATGCAAACTCATAGAGTTCATTTTCCATTTTCCATACGTTCGACTGTTGTATCCTATCTATTGTATCTTGATTCGGTTCTAATTTAGAACTGGTTTGTCGTAAATGCGACTTGTTACTGTTTAAATAATGTTCCGTGGCTCCTTTAAAGAACCGAGGTAGCGCTGCTTCTAGTACGGAGATGAAATCTTGCATCTCTTCAGTAACACCTACCACTAGGTAGTGATTGACTAAATTCTGTTTTGCCTGTTGCAATGCCCAGTGGCTGCCTGGTTTCCTGAAAAATATCATTATGTATACTTATAATTCTCTCTATCTATATGTTAACCCTGGAACCTTTACGCAAATGTATATTCCGACAGAGAAGACCAAGAGTTACAAGGCACTGTATATACATTCAGTGATAATAAAGCTACCAAGAAAATCAATTTATACTCAAATGTAAATATTAAGGTTTGAAAATGTACAAATATGACCAATGAATTGATTGTAGAATATAAAAATAAATACTATGAAAACCATGACAGTCAGAAAAGTAATATAATATACTAGCAGAACCGACAAACTTTGTACCGCCATATTTTATTTCTCCATTTGCGACTGAGGATTATTTTTAAAATTCTCTTAAATACAAACCTTGTCCTGACCTGACAGTAAAGAACACAAAAAAAGAATCATCCAATTTGATGCAGTTGTTCTGAAGTTATACATGCGATTTTTTTTTCATATATACAAAATCACAATAAAAATTATTCAAACAAACCTATGTCAAAATACAATGAAGCATCTCTCAACTTTTGTCCTTAAAACAACCTATTTTAATGAATATGTCTACCAAACACAACATAAAAATGTGTCTATGGAATTATATTTAATATTCAGAGCACAATGGTATCATGAATGCATTCATGATTCCAGCTAGTCATTACCTACATCCAAAAACCTAACAATCGAAAACATCTTTTTCAACCTACATTTTTATTTATTTGTTTTTATAAGTCATTATATATGCGTTTATAATATATATGTTGCAGCCAAGTGTTATAATCAGTTGACCAATTGGGAGACTAGCCCTTTAATTGAATGGCGCAAATTCAATTTTATTAAAGGGCTAGCTGCCCAATTGGTCGGCTGATTATACCACTTGGCTGCGACTATATACATATATAGTGATCATTATTGTTTCTATTGGGTCTGGGTATGTAATGTTGTAAAAAAATTATTTAATTTCATTGCAAAAAAAAATAACTATACATGACATTTTATAGCGGTTTTATCTTGGTGACCTCATTATTAACACTATTAAAATTTTATACTTACCAACACTGAGATGAGTGACCACAGAAAAATGGCACTTGTAACCACATATTATTGGGGTCACAATCAGGTTGACTTTTCTCAACACATTCGTCAAAAGTCTGCAATGATTAAAATAATAAATTTTGATCATAATTATATATAGAAATATTTTCCTGTTTTAGACCAGATATATACCAGAAAACCAAATACAATTAGTTCACAATGCAATTGTTACTTTTTAAAGTATTTTGCCTATTTTATTTATTGTAAAAAATAATCTTTAGAAGAATAATCACATTTTTTAATAATGAAAAATAAAGTTTATTTTTATACTGCCTCCTTGTAACCTACCATTTTATCTCCATGTTTCTTTCTAACTAGGTGGGGCCTAAAGTTATCTCCGTTGCGTAGGAAATAATAATAAGATACCAGCCTATCCAGTGGTTTCCTTATTAAATTTATAAATATAGGCCTTGAATTTGTTCCCAGTCTGTAAAAAATAAATGAGATGTAGAACAAGTAAATTTCTTTATTGACATATATAACACTAGCTTTCAGCAGCTTCACCCTCTGATCCTATATAATCCATTGTTAAATAAATCTTCCCTTTGAGCCAGTCTGTATATTAATGAAAAATTTATTCATCACAAAGTAAAGATCTAAGCCTACACAGACAGAGGGAAGCAACTATGTTTTATACAGTGTACAACCACTATTAAAAAAAAACTTTTTAAATTTCTTTCTACATAAACTATTGCCTAAAACATTTGAATTCTAAATGTTGTTTAATGAGTAAGTAACAAAAAATTAACCAAAAAATCTGCATCTTATAGAAGAAAGCTAAACAAACTAGTTCCATCCTGAACTGAAGTCAAATATTAATGAGTATTATAATCAATATTATTTACCTTTCAAAGTTCAAAAATGCCATATGCCCATGATATAATGCGGGCTTCACATCATTCCATCTTGTGACATTCTGAGCAAATTTATACTGATTACTGAGCGACATGACGTGCATGTTCGCGGTAATATTGATATGTAGCACTTTGAAATGATTTTTCTTACATAAATCGTAGGCAACACCTACGAAACTAGTGGACCCCGTTTTGGGAACCCTATTATATATCACTACTAAGTCATCCTCAACTCTTTCTATTGCTTTTGGGAAAAATTGACGAGGTTCCGAATGTATCTGAGCAAACTTGTATTCTGTAAAATAAAAAAGATTATTATAATCACATTGGCACAACAGACAAAACAGCTAATATACAGTCTTGTCTAATTTATTTAGAACTCACCTAATTTGTTATATTTGTCTTCTAAACGTGCAATTTCTGCTTGAAAATATAGAACAACAATAACAACAACACAGAGACACGAGAAAAGCCATATTTTGTGCACGTTCAACATTATCGGGACACAAAGTGCTCTTTTTTAGAATCAATGAACTCTCGCATAATTAATATTCATTGTGTTTTCTATAAAAATGTTTTCTTCGCGTTCGTCGACACCCACCTGGTTAAAGAAAAATAGAAAATAGCTCTTGTTTGTTATGAAATTCGTTCGAATTTTTACGCGTGAAGTTAGCCAATAACGCAGCAAATCGCTAATGTCACATTGACAGTTGACAATATGACAGATTCATAGACAAGCACTGAACGTTTCGTTTTACAATACTCTTATGCAATGAGGAAGTATTTTAAGAAAAAAAAATAAAGCACTAAAAAAGCATCTCACTGATTTTTACAGGAAACGAATGGACCATAGATAGTCTTTTCCGTTCCTTTTAAATATTAAAAAACTGAATATTGCAAAGTTCGAAACCTACAAAAACAAATACGAAAAATTACAAATAAGATATGAGTTGTTTATTGAGTTTTAAAAATTAATTTACTTTTATACATGAGAGAAAACCGGGGGTGTTGTCATGAAGAAATCAATTTTTTTAAATACTTCTTTATTCCAGTGAAATAAAAACGCGTCTTTTTTGTTCAGAAATAGGTTTAGTTACGGATAAACATAGGCAAAATGACTATTGAATGAAATGAACGATAACGTTGACATACGATTTTTTTTTTATAAATTTTACAATCCTAAGCTTGAATCTAATCAATATCTCAAATACGCAACATTAGCATTATTTATCAAAAACGTTCAAAAGGCATATGTATGTTAAGTTTAATTTAATAATTACTGATTAATTAAGTTTTTGTTTCTATTGGCGAATTCAAGAAGTTTGGATATCTTTATATAATAGGGTGAAGAAAAAGTTTCTTTGCAATTTATATGAAAATTTTAAAATATTTTTTAAAATAGTTTTTTAACATTTAACTAAAGTGTGTAGGTACTATTGTTTGATAACTTTTCCTATTTTGTAGGTAGGGACATAATACCATTGCTATATAAATTTTGGGATTTCTAATCTAAAAACCGCCACAAGTGGTATTGGCAGCCCTCGCGTTATGTTAACCTGACTCTACCTAAAGAATTCTGAAGAGACCGAAACAGGTGGAAATCGAAAGGTGCAAGGTCAGGACTATAGTACACCTGCCAGCCAAACTCTCTTAATTTTTGCTGAGTGGCAAAAGATGTGTGAGGTCTAGCGTTATCAGAACTATACCCCTTCTGTTGATTAATTCTGGTCGCAACTTCTTGATTTAATCTCATCAGTTGTTTGCAATATAGTTTAGAATCGATGATCCTACCTGGCAGCATCATAATGAATAATGCCCTTCTAATCTCACCATACACAAATCCCCCTGTTGCGAGTTAACCCGGGCTTCGCCACAATCTGTAAAGTCTGGCCGACTTTTGACTACGACCTTTTTCGCACGTTTTTGTCAAAAATGGTTCAGTTTTATTATGCCATAATAAAGAATCACAGATGAGTACACAGGTCATTAGGTTTCTTTTAGTGCGCTCGTGAGGTACCCATATATCCAATTTTTTGTGTACCCACCTTTTGTCAGATGCGCTAAAACAGTTCTTCAGCTACATGTTACTACTGATATGCCGATCTTGCTCCACTTTTACATTTTCAGTTCCCAACGAACTGTCTGGCTTCAGCCTAACAATTCCGTACTTGATATTATGTGACGTCAAGGTCGATAAACTGACATGTCCACCCTGATAACCCTCTTCAAGAGATGATTCAACATACTTTGATGATATCCATGCTCTGTGCAAGCGACCCTTTCGCTTGATGTCCTTTATAATATATGCGCGAACCAAACAGGACCTACCGCATGCCGCAGAGGATCTTCGCTTTTTGGGAACGGAATCATCGAATATCCGGTACATAATGTCGTAGAATGCATCGGTAGCCACGGTCACATCATTAGACCCGAGAACTTGTCCCCAGGAAACATCAGCGACTAGAGCCTTAAAGAGAGAGATATTGATATTATTAAAATTCCGATCGAGCGGTAAATAAATATTGCTCGACGTCAATCGGTCAAGGTATATGATTTGGAAACGCGGTTTTAACGCGATCTCTAGGGGGGAAGACACAACTTATCGGGAGGTACAAAACTCTCTACAACTAAGATCACAAATACCTTCCACGATCGCGATTCATTGCACTCCCGCGACAACACCACGTCAAGTATGCTACCATGCTCATTAACTGTGTCATTATAGTCCGTTAAATTACAATAACTCAAAAAATAACAACAGTAACTCTTAATACTATTAGATGAACTGTTCAGATTCAAGTCACCTACAACGAATATACTAGCATCTGCGTTAATTGTTAAAAATGATTCTATGTTACACAAAACGTACATTTATACGGCGTCAGAAGACTTCAGACTAGGGATCTAGTGGGCACCCATAATCTGCTACTGTTAGAATTTTATTTCTTTGTTTAACTTCAATTTGTAAGTGATTTTGGTTTAGGCGTTCTCCAAGAACGTGATTAAGTTTAATAACAATAATTTATTTGCTTTTAAATAAGTATGAACGATGGAAAATGTAAATAGGTATGAGTAGTTGTTTAATTTTATAACGAGATCAGATGAAGAATTTAATGCCATTATGTAAACTCTATCAGTTTACCGGAAAGTGATCAACTGAAAATAGAGACCTTAAGAAGAAAGGAGTACCTATTACCGTTTTGTGTGCGTAATTTGTTTTATAATATAACTAGAGCACAAAAATAGGATATATTTTTTTGTCGATCCAATTTTAAAACATAGCTAGATACATCTATTATTAACAACAGATTTTGACACAATGAGGATCAAATCGTTGGCTCAGCTGTGAGTGGTTGGTTACCCAATTGTATTAGCATTGTGAAAACATGCTGATTCCCTCGTCACCATAAAACGAATGTGTAGTTCCGGCCGAGTAAATAAATAATGCGGTCCCACTGCTGTTAGTATAAAATAATCAATATGAAACGGTCGACATGACTAATTTAATTTGTAGACTTTACTGGTGTATACAAACTATAAACAAACAGCTGTAGCCGAGCTGACATGATTACGTAACTAGTCTATAATGTAGACAGTTCTGGATGTTATTGTGACCTGGATTGCCATTGTTTCTAAAACAACACAATATTTCGAACATAATATAAAATAGTATAAAATGTTTCACTTGATCTGTTGTTAAATTATGCAGATTTAGTTATGTTTTATACGCATGTAGTTTATTATATCAGCTGGGTCACTTGTGTGTTGATTTACAACCTTATTTTAATTTCTAAATGTTACCTCAAAGAACAATAGCTTTAATCTTATCAGTAGTTTGCACTATAGGTCCTGCTTGACAGTAACAGCTCATAATGATTAACGCCCTTCTAATAAAAACCATACACACAATCACCCTGTTGCGAGTTAACCTATCACAGTCTGTGAAGGCTAACCGATCTTTAACCACGACCTTTTTCGCAAGTTCTTGTCCTACGTAATCCACTTTTCATCTTCTTCAAAAATGGTTCGGATTCTAATAATTGCCGTGATAAAGAATCACAAACGAGTACACGGTTCATTCGTTTTCTTTCAGTACGTTCGTGAGGTATCTTTTTTCAAATGCGCCAAAACTATTTTGTGGTCAATTCCCATTTCTATTATGCAGATTTAGTTATGATTTATAGGTATGTAGTTTATTATATCAAATGGGTCACTTGTGCGTTGATCTATTACCTTTTTTTAATTTCTAAATGTCACCTCAAAGAACAATAGCTATAATAATAAGCATATTAAGATAAAACAAATGAAATGCAGAAAAATGCGAAAGAAAATCCACGAGGAAGAGCTTATCCTGACGACTTTAAAAACCGGTCAAGTGTGTATCGAACCCGCGCAGAAAGGGTTCCGTAGCGAAAAAGAAAAAAATCACGTTTGATGTATGGGAACCCCTTTAAATATTTATTTTATTCTGGTTTTTAGTACTTGTTGTTGAAGTGGCAACAGAAATACATTAGCTGAGAAAATTTTAACTGTAACTTTCACGGTGTTGAGATACAGCCTGGTGACAGAGAGACAACGAAGTCTTAATAATGGGGTTTCCGTTTTACCATTTGAATACAAAACCCTAAAAATCTTCGGGTTCCCGTATCACGAACTAATTTGGGTTCTGATGTTCCGATTTCACGGATGTGTAACAACTATAATCGCATTTATAGTGTGTGTATCGGAGTGGACATATTACACGACAAATATCGAAATTTTCGTGATAAAATAAAGGTATACCAGTCAGCAGCAATATTGTAATTGTAATTTGTTTTTTACTTTCTGTTTATTGTATTATATATACATTTAAATATAATTCTGCATGGTTTATTATTATAGCTAATTGTTATTATGACATTTAAGTCCAAATCAATTTTAATATATTTTCATTTTGATGTTGATCTTTATTTTAAATTTGATTTTTACTTTGATTTTGAATTTAGATTTCATTTAATTGTTTTTAATCGTGATGACTAATTTATATTAACTTTATTTGTATTTATTTTATTAATTTTGTATAATTTATACTCTGTGATCAAAATTACTTCAATACCAGTGGCGTAACTATACCGTTTGCGGCCCGTGGCAAATTCGTCTGACATTCTATGTTTTTACTAACCGTGTAATAATAAATGTCAAGAGTAAGGAGTCTCTTCGCACCGGGGGCCCCTTCCAGCTGGGGCTCCGTGGCATTTTGCCGACTTGCCACCCTGTAATTACGCCAGTATTCAATACCAATGTCGTGTCACCTAAAAAATCAATAAAATTATCGGTCTGATGCATACACCATGCCAATAATAAGACCGAAAATTAATTGATAGTGTACTGCGAAACAATAATAATATTTCTTTATTTTTCTCCACAATACAAAAAATGTAAAGAATGTATCAGGGACATCAGAATGTATCGTGGAGACTGGTGCCTGCACTTGAGTGTAAACCCGTTTTGCAGGTCACCAGGCCTCCAACATCCGGAATATAAATGTACATTTAATACACAATCTTTTATAAGTAGTAAAATATGTATCAATTCATGCATTGTTGGTGTCCTATATATAAATAACTA